TACATGGTAATAGGGAATACAATGGCTTGTACGATTCTGACTTTTGTGTTGAGCTGTATATCTTTGCATTTTAGAATCTTTTCTAGTTCTTTAATAGCCACCCTGCCTATTCTTAGTCTTCTTCTGATTTCCTGATTGAAGTCCCCATTTCTATCAATGTTTGGTCCCAGATATGGGAATTCTTTTACTATTTCTATTTCTTCATTGTCTAGGTTGAACTTGTGAGGACCTTGGTGGTCATTCTTTTTGTTTTCTTTATATTCAACATTAAGCCTGCCTTTGCACTTTCTTCTTACTAGGTGTTACAGGTCTGTGAGGTTTTCTGCTAGTACTATGATGTCATCTGCATACCTTAGATTGTTGATATTCCTTCTTCCTATTTTCGCTCCTCCTTCTTCTGTGTCCAAGCCTGGGTTTCTTATAATATCTTCTGCATACAAATTGAACAGATAGGGTGAAAGGATACAGCCTCGTCTGACTCCTTTGCCAAGATTAGCCAAAGGCATAAGAAAGATGACAAGACAAATAGCAGATAGCCTTAGAAAGGCAAATTGCATCCAAAGCAGCATTATACATAAAATAGGGACATGGAATGTGAGGAGCATGAACCAAGGGAAGCTGGACATAGTAAAAATGGAAATGCAATGCATGAACATAACAGTACTGGTGGTGAGTGAGTTAAAATGGACAGGAATGGGCCACTTTGAATCAAACAACTACACAGTGCTCTACTCAGGGAATGAAAAGACAAGAACAAATGGGGTAGCTTTCATACTAAGAAAAGATGTAGCAAAAGCAGTCAGAGGATACAATGCAATATCAGACCAAATAATTTCAGTAATGTTCCATGGTAAACCTAGAATATCACCATAATATAAGTATATGCATCAACCACAGAGGCAGAAGAGGAAGAAATTGATAGATTCTATAGAGTAGTAGAGGAAGAAATGGATACACCAACACAGGATGTCAAGCTGATCATAGGAGATTAGAACGCAAAAGTTGGAAGCAAAGAAGAATCAAAAACAATAGGCAGATTTGGATTAGGCAAAAGAAATGAAGCAGGTGAGCGTCTGATGAAGCCAATAACCTATTCATTGTAAACATATTCTTCATACAACCAGAAAAAAAGGCTATATACATGGACATCACCAGATGGTCAGCACAAAAATCAAATAGACTGTATAATTGGAAGTAAAAGATGGCGAAACTCTATATTGGTGGTCAAGAGTAGACCAGGCACCAACTGTGGCACACATCACAGATTTCTAGCTCCATCTTTTTGCAGGCTGAGGTATATATGTTATGCTACATCACAGGTGGGCAGCCATGGAAGGTCTGGCAGGGCACACCTTCCCAATTTCATATCCACCTCTGGATCTCTATAGGGCATGTACCCCCTTGGTTTTGAAAGTGAATCTGTACAGGCTTTTTGTGTGCGTATTGCCTTTCAACTAGTGGCAAACTCACAAATTCCATAGGGTTTTCTTAGGCAAGGAATACTCAGAGTTGGTTTGCTAGCTCCTTCCTCTGAAATATAGCCTATGGCAGGGGTAGGCAACCTTTCCCCTTTAAGGGCCGAGGGACTTCAGCTCCCAGAATCCCAGGAGCTATTGGCCAACATGGGACTATTGGCCAACATGTCTGAGGCTTCTGGGAGCTGAAGTCCCTCGGCCCTTAAAGGGGAAAGGTTGCCTACCCCTGGCCTATGGCATATACATACCTGGTATTCAACACCTCATTGAGATATTGGGGGGGGAGAGAGAGAGAATTGCCTTTGGAAGAATCTGGAAGTATCATTTCCCATCTTTGGCATGTTTTAAAAAGCAATGGAGGGATGGTCTGCATACAGCTTGCTGGAGGGACAATCTGAGCCCCTGCATTACTTTGGCTGGAATTCTGTTAGGGACATGCACACATGTAACTGTCCTTTGAGAGCCAGTATGGTGTAAGTGGTTTGAACACTAGACCACAACTCTGAAGAACAGGGTTAGACTCCCTGTTTGGCCATGGAAACCTTCTGGATAACTTTGGGCAAGTAATACTCTCTTAACTTCAGAGGAATGCAAAGGCAAAGCCCATGTGAACAAATCATGCAAAGAATACACTGTGCTGAGGCTGCCTCAGGGTCACCATAAGTCAGAAAGAACTGGAAGGCACACAGATTATCTTGTGGGGGGGGGGGAATATTTTTTTGAGGGCACTGTAGGAATTGATATTCCCTTACTCCCTCTTATAAACCACCCCTCCTCAACTTACTGTAAAGTTCCTGGCCATCCCATGCTTTGTGATGAGCAGGCAGGATTGGAAAAACACCTGGCTATTTCTCCATAGCTAGATGCAAAATGATAACATCAGTGCTGAGATACACTGGGATCCTCCAAGGGTCTGGACATTGCTATAATTATTTTGTGTTTGGCTATGAGGAGGTATCTAGATGATTCCCCAATCATGCCAGCTCACCACTAAGCATGGGATGCCCATGTAGTTTGGTATCAGGCGTTTTGTGGTAAATCACAGGGAGAAGAGATGACTCAGCATAGCATAGGTCTGCATATGAATATTTATGCTATGCTGAGAGGATGTTGGACTGAGGCCACTGTTTACAGCTTACCAGGTTTGTTTTGTTTTTCAGAAGAAAGAAACAATCAAATTCACATTTTAAAATAGGAGGAGAATTTTAAAATGTGCAACAAACTGAAAATGACAGATTAATCCATCTGGGTCTTCGAGAGCTTAACTCATAAAAGACTGGATTTGAACCACTGTGCCTGTACTATATTTTGTTGTTGTGTGCCTACAATTCATTTCTGATTTATACATGGGGTTTTCTTAGCAAGTTTCTTCAGAAGGGGCTTGCCATTGCCATCCTCTGAGGCAAAGTGAGTGTAACTTGCTTAAGGCCACCCAATGGGTTTAATATGGCTGAAATGGGATTCTAACCTTGCTCTCCGGAGTCATTTAGTCCATTGCTTAAACCATTATACCATCCTTACTCACTACATTAGTATTGATGAATTAGGAATGGCACAGTTTTTTCCCAAAATAAAGTTTCCATCTTTAATATGGCCAGTAGGTACAAGTTGACTTTCCCTTATCCAGAATTCCAAAAGCTGAAATTTTCCAAAAGTCAAAACATTTTTCATGGCTGTAAATAGTGACACCTTTGCTTTCTGATGGTCCAATGTACACAAACTTTGGGCCTCTGCAGATGGGTGGCACAGAGCCGCCCAGGAAGCAGTGGATTGGGGTCTTGGCAACCCCACACTGCATTCCCAATCCTCCCTTTTGCCTCCCAGAAAAGAGTGGCAAAATGCCGCTCCTTTTGGGGGTGGCAAAAGGCCGCCTGAAGAGCTGGCACTGCGGCTCTTCCTCATCCTTTCGGTGCAGCATGTTTAAATGCTGCACCAGGAGGGCATCTAGATGCCGTGCACTGTATGTAACAGCACATGGCATCAGGATGGCATCGGCATGGGGTTGGGGTGGCCAGCGTGCGGCTGCCCCACCCCAACTCTACCCCCAGGCCAGCCCTTTGTTTCGGTCAGCAGAGGTCCTTTGTTTCATGAACAAAATGATTTAAAATATTATATAAAATTACCTTCAGACTATGTGTATAAGGTGTATATTAAATATAAATACATTTTGTGTTTAGACTTAGGTCCCATCTCCGAAATATATCACATTATGTACATATTTGCAGATACAGGTACTCCAAAATCCAAAAATAAAATAAAGCAAAATAAAATATGAAATTGAAAACACTTCTGATCCTAAGCATTTCAGATAAAGGAGACTCAATATGTACAATTTGTTTTCTCCATGCTAGGAAAAGCTTTACCTACTGAATTTGGATAGTATATATAGTGGACAATTTTTTTTTTGAGGAATTTACCAAATATCTATAATATCTGTATTTGGGACAGAAAGAACTTGAGGTTTTGAAAAATTCAAATGCAGTGAAGCACTACTGTGGGACACGCTGAAAGCGGTGCTCAGAGGTCTGTTTATACAAGAGGGCTCCAAACAAAAGAAAATTAAAGAAAATAAATGCCAGGAATTGATTAAAGAAATTGAATTCTTGTCAAAACTCCCACAGGAAGACCCAAAACTCAGACATACTAAAAACTTTATTAGAAAAAAAGGTCAAATTGATGAATTAAACCTACACTCAGTTCAAACCAAATTAGAATACATGAAAGCCTATTTCTATGAAAACAATAACAGGAACTCTGAATTACTAGCTAGATTAGCAAAACAGAAAACAAAAAAAGAAGTTTGCAGCTATCACCTCCCCAAATGGCAATATCAAAACTTCTCAAGTTGACATAGTAGAGGAATCCTGAGAGTTCTACTCTGAACTCTATGCTGAAGAATCAAACCCCCCAGATAAATTTAATTCGTTCTTTGACTCAACCGGATCATCTCGTTAGAAAAAAATCAAACCAGCAATCCAAAACATCAAACCAGGGAAATCTCCTAGATTAGATGGATTTATGGGGAATTTTATAAACTATATGGACCTTATCACACGGGGCCCAAAGCAGTCAGAACCCCCAAAAAATCCTGACCTGATATGTATTATTTTTCCGTGTGTCCACACGACATCGCACAGAAGCCCGACAGAACCCCAACAGCGGCAAGAACCGCTGTCCCCCAAACCCCTTCCCAAGCCGGCACAGGGTCCACGCTCTGA